GAGAAGCAGCCACACAAAGCTGTCTCTTCCTGTTGCCACCTCACTACACCTGAATGCAACAGTTTCTCAACTGCTGCCTACAGTGTCACAAGCACTGCACAGCTGATTCCTTCCTTTGGGTGTCTTTTTCCTTCCCTCCTTCCCTCCCTCCATTCCTTCCTTCCTTAGTGTGTGTGTGTTTTAGTGAAGATTAAATTTAGGGTCTTCACAATGAGCTACATCCCCAGTCCTTTTAACCAAAAAAAAAAAAAAAAAAAAAAAATTTTTTTTGAGACAGGGTCTTGCTAAGTTGCTTAGTCTGAGTCTGAGCTGGATCTTGCAATCCTCTTGCCTCAGCCTCCCAGAGCACTGGAATTACAGATGTGTGTTACCACATTCAACTTCAACTTTCTTTTCTAAATAATTATGTGCAGAGACGGACAAGTACAAAAATCAAGGCATGTGATAAAGACATACTTCCTCAACCATCTGAAAACATCTGCATTTAATTACTGACCAGTATTCTTGTTCTTATCAATACAGAGAAAATAGTGTTATGCAGAAATCTTTCAATAGCTACCCCACCTGTGGTCAGAGGCTCTGGCCTCAACCACCCAAGACAAAGCTGAGTTGAGTTCAAAGGCACAGGTGAGTTCTGCTCTCAGCATGTGTGTGAAGAAGGCACTATCTCTTCCATCTGTCCCTATATTCACACCTCCCCACACCTGCAGTGACAAGCTGGATGAGAAACAGAAACAAAAACCATTAATAATTAGATCAATTACCTAGTCCTTAATGGCTATTTCACAGATAGATTATCCTTCCCAACTGGTTCTCAGTAGTGATTCCTTCATTATATTAATATGCTTCAGGCACAGTGTAGAGGGACCGCCTGATAGAGATGCTGCTGTCCATCTTTCCCAGATACCAAGGTTAAAGGGCACGGGACACATAGGTTCAAGACCACCCATCCCGGGACACACAGCTCCCAATCTGTCCAGGCAGCATGCGGACTCTGCTGGTATCTGGACATGATTCCCCAGTGGACTCAGGATGCAGGGGTCCAATCACTATTGCTGAAGCATTTTCAGGCTCACACAGAGACTGGCCACTACCTTCTCTAACAGCTATAGCTAGGAATTACTGGTCTACTCTATCAGTTGCAGAAGTCAAAATACTTGTATGCTGTTCTTGGGACAATCAAAGAGAGAAAAAACTAACAGATCACTGGATTCCTATGGGATAAGGGCACAGATGGCACTCATGCCATCAAGAAGGTCCTGCCAGTTTAATAGTGACTGGGCTGTGTGGCTGTCTTCTAAACCGGTTGCTCCCATTAACTTCAATATCAGTTCCCTGTCAGAAGTAGTGCTGTCCTGTTGTTTTCATGTATTATTTCATCTTAAGCTAGAAATCAAGTCCCCTCCAAGATGAGGGGAGAGGAAGGGAGCAGGAGACCAGGGCCTGAGAGCCCTGGGACACCCTCGCTTTGCTTCTCTAGTCTGCTTCATTCCCAGCTGCCTCCTCTGCACCTACTCTAGCCTTGGCTCACAGCGCCTGATGCTGAGGAAGGGAGCCCCAGACCTAAGAGCAACCAGCCAGGCATGGGTCTCCCAACATGATCTCCTCATGGAGGTGCACTCAGGGTTCCACGTGGGCTCAGCAGAGAGAATCTCAGCTACTCTGACAGACAAGGTTCAACAAGGTGCAACTTCAGTGCCCAGCAGGGCTCCTACAGCTATTTTCTCTGCTCTACTCTCATCAGAAGATGTCCCATTTTAATCTGTGTCCTGTGGTCAAATTCTGGATGTCTTTTGTGGGTATCACCTCACACTGGGACAAAACACAGCGGCTACATCCAGCAGCCTGCCTTCTTCACTACTGACTTCAACTGGGGACACAGAGAGGAGCCTGGGCCTGTTCCCCACCTCTTAACACCCCCAGGACAGGCTGGCCAGAGAAGGGACTGTCTGAAAAATGACCCATAAGAGTGCAGATGCAGCCCTGCCCTCACAGTGCTCTGAGGCCAGGTAGGGAATCTGGGCCTGGCAGGTAGCAGACTGGCCTGGCATCCTCATGGGCCCAGGACCACATAGACACCTTCGGTCCTCCCGCCAGCTCAGAAACAAGGCACTGAGCTTCTGCAGGCTGGACCACTCCTTCTCTGCCTCCCTGGAGCACTGTGCTACAAGGGGTGGTATGCAGGGCGAAGCTTGTGACACATTAGCAGGAAAGGCATGATACAACACACACATCTGCCACCAGCCAGTGTGGCCCTGTGGCAGTGGGTAGGAGTCAGGGCATCTAGGAGGGCACGGTTCCTAGGACACAGATAAGAGGAAGCAAGCACAGTGTAAGTGTGCTTGTGAACATGTGCACACACACACTGAGTGCCTGGAAAAGTGGTGTCCAACAGCGGTGTGCAAAGCAGAGGCCCAGACCTGTCTTCTGAATCGCTCCTTCATGGAGAAGAGCCAGGATTCCTTGAGAAATGGCAGGTCCCACAGACTGCAGGGAATACACAAGATGATCTGACACATGTTGCTGTCCCCGAGGAGCAAGAGGTCCTGAATCATGGTGCGGCCCAGTCAAATGGCACTGTAGCAAATTTGGAAGTTCTGCTGGCCCAATCATGGACAAGGAGACGTAACAGTGAAAAACCTCAGTGACACTGATGACTCTTAAATGAATCAGGAAATGAGGAGCCCACGACTGCACACATACACACAAGCATGCTACGGGAAGTGAGTGGGGCGGGCAGGCACCAGCCTCACAGAGCCCTCCACATGCAGATGCTGCTCTCTTCAGGTGACAGGGATGAACCGACCCAGAAAGGGGCTAAGCAAAGCTAAGGTACCTTATGGGAGGTGACGAGGAGATAACACAGCCAGAGAGTAACCCCCAAAGAGGGGAGTCCATGGCAAAGTTCCCTTGGGAGAGCACTGGTGGGACTAGGAGCACACAGAGGCTCTGCGAGCAGGACCCACTTCCAATGTTGTAGGGCATCAGTCCTGAGAGGCCAGGGGCCAAATCCAAATCCCAGGATCCCTTAAGATATCCATCTTTTGTCCTCTCAACCCTATAGAGCAGCCATCTTCTCTTATCAAAACTGCAGTCCCTATGGGCCCAGCTTCTGAGCTAAAAAACTTCCACCAAACTTCAGGGGAGCCCGTACCCAGCTCCTCTGACCTCTGTGCTTCAGTCAGGGAGTATCTACATGCAGGCAACTCCTACATCAACAACCCATCAACTTCCCACAAGAAGTCCTCCTTTCCTATCAGCAACCCCCTAAGTAAAAGGTACACCCATTTTTTGTGCTTCATTCTCTTTAAGACAGAGAAACTGGTGGGCAAAGAGGTGTGCAGATGCCTCCCTGGGACCTGAGTCAGCCTGCCTTCAAAACTGTGTACCTTACACTCCCTCCTGAATTCACATTTCTTTCTCATTCATTGCTTTCGTCTGGACCCTTTCCTTGTGTGCTGTTTTTGTGAGTTTTCCCTGTTCGTTATTTTAACTATAATGCAGACTGGAACCCTGCATAGATTCTGTGCACAGATTCTAAAGCAGAGGCTCGGGCCCACCATGCCCATCCATCCCAGTCAGGGTGGACAGGTTCATCTGCCTCTGTGGCCACGGCGAGACAGTCCTGCAAATCCCAGCACAAACACTGCTGCTCAATGCATATCAAAACTCATCTGATCATTATTTCATCAATTTATTTCAACTAAATCATGAAAACAATTTAAATTTCTAAAGTAGGGGGTGAGAGTTTCCCATCCAACTTCTGCACTGCACTTCTCTGCTCACCGCTGTGGCTGCAGAGTGGTGGACACTGATCCAGCAATATTTCCTCTCAGTAGCACTGTACTGTCCTCCAGGCCTCTGACCTCCCCACTGTGCCTTGACTATGCGTGCAAGGTTCCCTATGTTCTTGCTCACCTGCCACCATCGTCTGTCCTGTTACCAGGCATGCCTGCCAGTTCCCTGCCACCACAGACCAATTTGTCTCCAGCGGCCTGTCACAATAACCTAAAGCTCTTTGTGTACATGCTTTTTCCCTAGATAGCTAGCTACCAGTGAAATTTGGGAGTCAACGGCCTAGTATTTTTAAAGTTCTTGAACAAAATGTACTATCAAAATGACAACATGGTACACACCAATTCACTTTTTGAAATACTGAGCACCTACATTTTTAAAATGTATTATTAATTTGGTGTTTAAAAGTATCTCATAATGTGTGTTTGACTAAAAATTGAGTGTCTGTAATCTGTCTCACTCAAACCTCTGTGGATGTTCACCTGTCACCTGTGCATCTTCATCTGGGTCTCCACTCCACTTTCCACCTATGAATCTACTCCTAGTTTTCCTTGTGTTTTTGTCATGCACTATTCCCATTTGTGGTTATTAACAAGTTCATGATGGGGCCGTAATTTGTACATGTTGCTGCTAGGCAGCTCTGAAGCAGCAGTGGTACATTCATGACTGCAATCAGGTGGCACGGGACAGTCCTTTGGGTGGGCCAAGCCTCACAGTCGTGCGTGTACCACTGGTGATTCAATCCAACAGGAACATTTTCATCTCTTAAGTATTATGTTTGCCGGTATGATACCTGTTTAACTTCATTTTGTTAATATTCTCTGTGGTACAATTTTATATAATCTTATTTATTGTTAATTATTAACTCCTTAAGTCAACACCAATTAAGCAGTAGCAACAATTCACTTAACTGTTTTTTTTACAGTATTGAATATTAAATCCAGAGCCTTTGCACTAAGCAACATTTCTAGCCCTTTTTTAACATTTTGAGAAAATCACTAAGTTACCTAGGCTGGTCTTGAACTGAGGATCTTCGTGCCTCAGCCTCCAAGTGCTGGGATTATAAGCCCATATGACCATGCCCAGTTACAATCTTAACTTTTAAATCTGACTATAATATATTAGAAAATGATGAGAAAAAAAGATCTTACAATCATTACTCAACCAAAATACATAAATCCATTATAAACAAAACAGTTACTTACCGAATCCAAAAAGCAAAGGTAAGACCCTGAGCTCTGTGCAACTGCTTGATTTTTAGAATATCCAACTGTTGGGAAAAAAATAGAGAAAAGCTCTTTTATAATTGAATTTTCAAGAGCATGAAACTTAATATATGTTATACTCCAAGAAAGCTAACAACATTTTGCACTACCACCCAAAAGCCAGGTCAGTGAGGACAACATCCCCATGGGTGACTGGTATCAGGACCACAGTGACAAGGCACCTGGAACAAAATTAAAACAGTGAGTCCCTGGGAAAAGTCAGTGAGGTCTATAAGGAAATAGGACCTCATGCCTGAGACACACAGACCTGACACACAGCTAACCTAGCTGCACACCTGGTGGATTCCAACTTTGGCACATGTCAAGAGTCAGGTACAGTTACTGCCAGTGTCTGAGCATCTGAGCATACACACGTGTGCTGGTCACTGCTTTGCAACTGCTCTGTCTCTGAAAGCGTGCTTATCCTCAGAACCCGGAGCCAGGAGCAGCTCAAACGCAGATGGGAAAATGCAGTGTCTGGCAGTGAGTGCAAACGGTCCGCAGCCACACACAGCAGCATGGGAGACAGTCACTGCGAGCACAGGCACCCGTGGCAGAGGGGACAGAGCATGGAGCACAGAGCAGGCAGGGCTCTTCTGCGGCTTAGGAACAGGGAGCAGCTGCCCTGGGGGAGGTACCCGGGGAGCCGCTGGGCTGCTGGGGCTGGTGATGCTGCCTTCATCGGGCCACTGGTTTGGTTTCCCAGGTGGTCAGTTCATGATTCTGATAAGTGTACTCTTCTAGGGGATATATTTTAATGAAAGTATTTTTAAAATCCTAGCTTTCAAAGATATTACAGCTGAGTTAGAGAGGGTTAAACAACAACCTAGGATTAACTGCCTAATGAATGGAGCTGAAAAGGTGCAAGGGAGACGTAAAACACAAAAATCACCATAAAAGGAGTTACAGAGGGAACTTGAGGCGCTGGGATATAAACAGAAAGTGGAAGAGTGCAGGACTGACTACCCGGGAGGGCACAAGATGTGTTTGGGAAGGTGAGCCTGTGCCCACTGCCACAGGAACTGGCTGTTGTGCTGAAAAGGCTCAGCTTCATCTGTTGGCAGGGGCTGCCCCAAAGATTTCTAACTAAGGAATCACATGCAGATTAACACTTAGCAAGCTCGGCCTGGTCACCGGGGGGTGGGGAAGCCAGAACAAGAGTGCCGACAGGACTTTGGGGTAAGAATCCACTGTCCCTAGGGAAAGAGGCTACCAACACCTGAAATGAGTTATCCAGCTGGTTATGGATCTGATGCCACCAAGAAGAGGCACAGGAAACAAAACAGATGCGTGAAGAGGTGAAACAATAAATCTGTCTCGTATTCAAAGTTAGGACAAGCTGAATAAAGCTGTCATTCCCATGGGGACACAGCCAAGTATGTTCCTCAGGCATCCCCTGGCACTAACCTGTTTCCCGCTGTGAGGAGAGAGGGGAAGGCTCCCGCTACCCGGGCTCTGTCCTACTCCTGGGAGGGACAAAAAGCAAACTGAAGCAACAGAAGGCAGAGGTGAGACACACAAAGTCACCAGACCCTCACTCGCATTCTCAAAAGGTCCAGCTGGAGCAGTGCTCTTCTGAGGAGGTGTCCTCCGAGGTGGCAGCTTAATCTCTAGCCATAATCCCTCAAACTCAGCCAACCCAAACCAATGAGTAGAATGACCCCGGATTTCCAGGAAGCACAGGTATGAACAAGAGCAGAGGGAAAACTGACACAGACGAGGCCAAGCGCCCAGCTCCTGCCCGGGGTGACTTGCAGCCATCACAGAACAGCAGTGGCTAAATCCTCACCATGAGTGCTGTACACGGCAGAAACACTAGAGAACATACATCCTGAGCACCTCAATCACAGAGCTCTAGGCAACATGAAAAATGGGAAGAGACTTTGCACAATCACACTGAAATCAGCTGAGTATTGTTCAGAAAGCCACTCATAGGAGGCGAGTTTTAGGAGAGAAACCAAATCCAGGAGTTTGGGTAACAAAGGCAGGTGTATCTCACGGAGGAAGCAGGAAACTTCTCACAATGAATCTTATGTTTAACAAAGACTTGGAATTTGCATTAATATCATTGCCTTGCAGAAAGTCAAACGTTTGTGCAGGGTTCCATGTCTGGGTAGGCCAGTGCCTTCATGAGGGGCACTGGTTGCCATGGTCACAGCAAGGCAAAGTCAGCTCTCACAGATGTTAACATTTCTCATCCTGGACAGGAGTGGAGGGTCATGCTTCATTCTGATTTTAGCAAGTGACCACATTACTTCTACTTAAGAGTCTTCTTAAATACTATCCACACTCTTCTGCCTCCTCCTCAGACTGGGCACCCTCAATAGCAAGGAGAGATGGGTCTGCTGGCAGGCACTGTGCTGCATCTCCCCTCCACCAATACCCATCCTCTACTCAGCCCAAAGCACCAGAGACGAGACCAGTAAACACTGGCAGGAAGCCGCAAAAACCAGCAGTTTCCAGGAACTATTAGGTTGGGAGATTGCACATTTTAAAGTGTTTCACAAAGCAGCAAAACTGTTCCGTAACGGTTGATACTCAGAAATGGTCACACAGCCCTGAAGAGGTCATCATCTGTACATCATCTATGTGGATGATGCCTGCCCTGGAAATGAGATGAGGCCTGAGAGAGCTGAAGGAGGCAGTGCACACCCAAGGATCACCAAGACCAGTGGCCATAGTGTAGCCACAAATCTGTAATGCTAGCAGAAAAAAGCATTAAGAGAGAGGACGAGTAGGTTGGCCTTGAGGGCCTAGGTCTAGGAACATCGGAGATTGTCCCCCATCTCTCACTCCTCTTTCTAAACACCACCCAAAGGCACCAAGCAACCTGTAACTCCTGCTGATGCTCCACGCACCCAGTTCTACCTCACACCTTCAGGGGACCTGAAAAGTCTGAATTTCAGGATCATGCATTGGATCTGAGCACGATCTAACAACAGACTCCTAGGCACTGAAAGGGATGCTCCAGAGACCACTAATAGCCTCTATCCCCAGCCTGCCTGCCCTTGAGTTAGAAGGAGCTGGACAACTCCCTGGAACCATTTAATAGTTAACTGTCCTGTCAACTTGAGTAAGAAACTCCCAACTAAATTGTGTCAGCATAGTTCTGGGTGTGGCTGAGGGGATTTACTGGGTGTGAGTGACAACGACCAATGGACTTGCCACCTAAATGGTATAAAAGGGAAACAAAGAAGTAAGGCCCACTTCTGTTTCTCTGGAGGAGCTCCAGTCTTCACCTTCACCTTGGATATCATCTCCTGGCTTCCAGCGCAGACCCAATGGCCTCCTGACACAGACTTGCACAGGATATTACAGTGAACTTCAGGTCTGGATCCTTCAGGTCTCCAGTGCACAGCAGACCTTTTGCACTCTTCCACACTTGACTTTGAGTGCAGCCACTGTGAGCCAATCTTGTAAATTCATGTATATTTGTATATCTTGTATTAAATCTGTTTCTCTAGTAAGCACTAACTGATACAAACCACATCTGCTACAAGTGTTGGATGCCATTCTTGAGAATATCTTAAAGCAGTGGCTCTCAGTATGAGATGTGCCTCAGAATCTCCTGGGATACTTCTAAAATTCCAAAGCTGAGGTTCTATCTCAGACGTGCTCTAAGAACCTCACAGGGAAAGACCAGGCCCCAGGCTCTTTAAAGCTCCCCAGATGATTCCAACATGCACCCAACAGTGAAGACCCTCACTGTAGAGACAGACACAGCTCGTATCCTCAAAAGACTGCCCTCAGCTACACACTGCTTACCGGCCTACCCCCACCTTTCAAGCCTAAGCAGTATACAAGGCCTATTTCTTTTCAACTCTTAGGTACTCTGATTAGTTCCAATTAAAGCTAAGGATACGAGGTTAATCAATGTAAAACAGAGGATGAGTGAAAAAACAAATATAGTTTAACATGAAATTTTCAAATTCAAAAGAATATAAAGAAAATCCTTAAATACTTTCAGAAAAGATGACTTCAAAATAACAAGAGTCAGATTGATATAGTATTTTATTAGCACAGAAGACACTAGCAGATAATGAGTCAATTCTTTCATATTATTTTGTCCCTAGAATTGCACACTCAGCCAAATTGTGAAGCATAACTTAAAAGGACATTGTCAGAGAGCTGCAAGTGCCAAATATTTTACCATCCACATCCCACACTCGAACAGGATTTCTGAAGAAGTAATTTCAGCAAAATGAAAAAGAAAGACATAGGGGCTGGGGATTTAGCTCAGCGGCACAGCGCCTACCTGGCAAGCGCGAGGTCATGAGTTCGATTCCCCGTACCGGGGAAAAAAAAAAAAAGAAAAAGAAAGACATAAAAAGAAAATTTTTCAAAAGAGAAGGAAAGCAAGGGCACATGGAAAAACCAGGGGCTGAAGCATGGAAGGAAAAGGAGATGTGCTGAAGCAGGGGCAGAGGCCTCTGGGGTCTTCCTGAGTCTGCTCCCCTATACTGCTGTGAGCACAGCTATGTATTGATAACCCCATCCAGGCCATTTTCATAAGGCCTGAATGTCAGAACTGACCTATTGGCAAAGCAAATAAACCAAGAGTTGTAGAAAAGAATCAAACAGGCCCAGCCCCAATGGCAGCAATACACTGCCAAGGACTAAAGAGGGGGGTGCTGAGCTGGGTCTCAGCTCACTGGCAAAAGCTCCATGATGCCTCACAGGTCTGTCTAGTGCTCAATTTCTTTTCACTATATGCTGGCATTCAAAAAGTAGCTCTAATTCATCAAAGCAGACATTCATTTGTGAAATAAGCCAGTGTTTTTCACTAAGTTGCCTAAGCTTGGTTCAAACTTGTGATCTTCCTGCCTCAGCCTCCCAGAGTACTGGGGTCATAAGTGTGCTCCACCACAACCAACTACTTTCTTTCTTACTGTTAAAATCTTTTTTGCAATGTGCAGACAGTGGACACTAGATCAGCCAGGTGTGGGGCAGCAGCAGCGGCCAGGAGGATGACAATAGGTGTTCTACGAAAGAGAATCGGGCTCTGCTAAGTTAAGGTACAAACCACGAGTCCTAAGTCAGCCACTAACACAGTAAAACAAGGAAATAATTACAGCTGATAGGCCAACTGAGGGGACACAGTGGAAAGCGAATAAGGCTGATAGGAGCTATGCTTCTACATGGCAGCATTGGAGTCCTGCTCCCCAGCAAAGCCAGCAAAAATTACCCAAGAAAACCAACGATCTAATCTCTAGAAATGATCCTAAGGTATACAGAAAATGAAGAAAGTTACCCCCAAACCTCCTGAAACTCACACCTGCCAGTTCCTAGGAGGGCAGGACATAGCATTTCCTACTCTGACTATAGTAGTTGATTGATTATGTCAACTTGAGAAGTTTACAAGCATAACTAAACTTGGCTCAGCAATTTGCTCAGCAATTCTACACCCTAGGGTGTAGAGGAGCCACCCTAGGGTGGATCATCACTTTGGTAATATAAAAGGGAAATGAAGAAGGACAGAAGTACTTCCATTCCTTTTGGAGGAGTTTCAGTCTTCACTTTCAGCTTGGACTTAGTCTCCTGGCTTCTAGTGCAGACTCTTCGGCTTCCATCTTGGATCCTTCAGCCTTCCGTCGCAGACTCATAGGGCTCCTGGTACGGACTTGCACGGAACTCTGCAGTGAACTCCAGACCCTGGACTGATTCCTTCGGTCTTCAGTGTGCAGACACCCTCTGCACACTTCCCCATACAACTCTTTGGCTGATCATCATAAGCCAATCTTGTAATTTCTTATAATTTGTACATCCTGTGTTATATCTGTTTCTCCAGTAAAACCCTGACTGACACACTGACCCAGCTACACCTGAGAGCCGGGGGCTGCCTCTATGCCCCAGGCCCAGCCCATGGGGCAGAGGCACTATCAATCTTGGTTGTGGTGTCCCTGAGAATGCAGGGCCCAGAGGGTCCTGGACCTGGTTCCTGGGGCAGGTGAGAGGCAGGCAGAAATGATGCTGAGGTATTGTCCCCCTCCCTCACAGGCTTCAGGTAGCAGGGCTTCACACAGAAAGAGGAACACACACTCCCTGTGGAGGAACAGAACATCTACTCAGGCAAACAGGCTTAGAACAGAGCACCACATCTCCAGAGAAGCAACTTTGTTTGCTCTGTCCTGGGTGAAATGGCCCCTGGGAGGAGACTAGCAGGTGCCCTGGTGATGCAGAAGAACTTCAGGCTGACCTATCAGCCAGAGACAGGCTGGAGAGAAGTTAGAAGGAGCCTCTTAGAGTCTGGAAATCTTTAAACACTGACCTCAGGAACTGTCCCTTCAAATGGCCTCAATTTCATGGGATTATTCTCCAAAGCAATTTATAACCCGTGGCATCATGAAAAACAACACAGCAATCAGCAATTACTGGAGCTTAACAGCTGGGTGTGGTCAGAGAAAGAGTCAAACAGAACCGGGGCAAGGCCGTTGCCAACCCCAGGGATATGTGGGGCCAAGGCCGAGGAACACCATCAAAGCCACCCAGGGACTAAGCAGGTGAGCAAGAATCCACAGCCCTGGCAGTCACACAGTTTCTACAACATATGATCTAAATATCAGTTTCCAGCTAAAAATAGGAGACATGAAAAGAAACGGGGAAGCACGACCCACACCCTGGATACAGGACAGGCAACAGAAACTTACCCTGAGAATGTCCAGATGCCACATCTAAGACAGATTCAAAGAAGCCATGATAACTATACTGAAACTAAAGGAAATCATGATGAAAGAAATAAAGATATAACAGTGTTGTGTCAGAGGGTATCAACAAAGAGAATAAGAAGAACCAAATAAAAACTCTCAAGCCCAAAAACACAGTAATGAAAATTAAATTTGCACTAAAGGAATCCAAAAATAAACTGGTGGAAGAAACAATAAGCAAACCTGAAAATCAATGGAAAAAAAAAATCCAATCCAAACAACAAACAGAAAAAAGAATGAATAAAAATGAGTATCACCTCAGAGAATATGGAGCAGCACTAAATGCACCAACACAGACATGAGTACCAAAAGGAAAGAGGAGAGATAAGCAAAAAAATAGCTGAAAACTTTCCAAGTTACTTGAAAGACATTCCGAGGAATGGATAAAAAGGATGTGGTCTTTTTATACAATGCAGTGTTATTCAGCCATAAAGAAGGATAAACTGGAGACTTTTACGGGTAAATGGATGCAACTTGAGACCATACTCATAAATGAAATAAACCAGATGCGCATATGTAAACATCATATTTTCTCCCTAGTGTGAGAAGCTGAAAGAGTAAGATCCAAATGTACAATAGGTATTGTAAAATAGGAAGAAACTTCAAAAGGAAAGTGAAACTGGGATGGGGGACTGGAGAAAAGAAGGGAAAAAAATATATATATATATTTATGTATAAAAGACAGTTCAGATAGTTATACTACTAATTTCTCTTGCTTCACTGGGGAGAAGGGTTTGTGCTAATATTGTTTGGACAATTAAATGTTGAGGTCTTATACTCTGAGTAACTAATTTAAAGATAATGCTATGCGATGTATTAACCATTGTTACCCTCCTATCATCTTGTTTTGAAATTATGTTTTTTGGATTTTTTTCTTTTAAAATAAAAGAAAGGAAGGGGGAGAGTTGAGGGGGAGAGGGAGAGACAGAGAGAGAGAGAGGGAGAGAGGAAGAAAGAAAGAAAGAAAGAAAGAAAGAAAGAAAGAAAGAAAGAAAGAAAGAAAGGAGAGAAAATAAATTAATCTGCACATCTAGGAAGCTAGAAAAACTCCTAGGAGGAGACACACAAGATTCATCACTAGACACACTGCAGTAAAATGCCAAAAGACAAAGACAAGGAAAACATCTTGATAGCAACAAGAAAAAGATGACTTGTCACTTACAAGGAATGCTCAGTAAGATGAACATCTGCCTTCTCATTAGACCAGTAAAAGCAAGGAGGACAGAGAGTCCCAAATCACATATTTGCAGCACTCAAAGAAAACCGCTATCAGTCAGGAATCCCAGATCTAGCAAAGCCATCTTCCAAAAATAAAAGAGAAATTAAGACATGCCAAGGTAAACAAAAGCTGAATTTGTTGACAGCAGATCATTCTTAAAAGAAATGCCAAATTTCTTTGGTTTAAGAAGACTGACAGGACTTCAGGTTCACACAAAAATCAAACTGGTACAGGAATGTTCATACAGGCACAATTCACAACAGCCAAAAAAGTGGTACAACTCAAATGTCCATGAACTGATGAATGGATAAACAAAATATAGTATATCCATACAACTGAGTATTTTTCTGCTACAAAAAGGACAAAGTACTGATACATGCTACAACACAGATAAACCTAAATAACGGTGTGCTTAGTGAAAGAAGCCAGTTATAAAAGAACACGTATTAATATGAAACACCTAGAACAGGTAAACCCATATACACAGATACAGTACAGATCAGTGGTTATTTGGCTGGAGGAACCCTGGGCTATAACCCACCTGCTATAACAGAATGCCATACATCAAGTGTCATAAACAACAGAAATTTCTCACAGTTCTGGAAGCTGGAAGCAAGACTGAGGAGCTGGCTGACTGAGTGTCTGGTCAGGACTTTGTCCTTTCCTCCAAAATAGGAGAAGCGGTGAAGTTTTCTCTGGCCTTTCTTTTAAGACACTAATTCCATCTGTGAGGTTCTGCCCTCATGACCTCATCAGCTGTCAGAGGCAACTCCTCCTAATGCCAGGACATGAGAATTAGGCTTGAACGTAGGCAGTGGAGAGTAGACACAACTTCAGACCACAAAAACAAATCTTTACCAAAGAACTAGAAATTTAAGTCCAGGAGGTTCTCATTCAATACTGGACCTGAGGCAGAAGATGGGACATGGCTAGAACTGGCTGGGACAGGAGGTATGACAAGATCCTGGGACACACACACAGAACAATTCTCAGAGGCCTGCACCCAGACTTCTTGCGAGAGCTTGAGCAGGTTTTTGATAGGATGCCACGGACTCATTGCCAAGTATAAGAAATATAAAAAAGGGCCAGTTGCGATTAAGCACTCGTTATCAGGCCTCTTCATAATAACCCACCTTGTGCCGGAGAGTGTATTTTTATTTTTTCCTCCCTTTTTCCAGCCTTTTTACTCAGCCCAAACTCACTCTGTAGAATCCGTTTTCCACTTACCCTTCTGGTTTTTTTCCCACCTTGAATAAATGTGAAACTTCACCACTGTTCATGGTCGTTTTGTTCAATTCTTTGTCTGGGACAGAAGAGACCTAGACATCACCTCTAAAAACAGACTCCAGCACCCCAGACCCTGGTGACAGAATGATGACCAGCATTTTTATAGTATTTGAACAATGTGAAACTATTTAAATGTAAGTTGATAAGAAACCACGACTTACAGTTTAATAAACTAAGCATGTTTACTCACCTCCTCGGGGACATGGCGAATCATGACCTCCAATGACTACAGCGATACCGGCACCTTCCAGCCTTCCTTTCCATCTTTCAATGATAGTCATAGACTTGTCCTGGAAGTGCAACAGCAGCAGGTCAAGGAACCTCCTCAGAACAGTCAAAATGTGACTAAGTCACCCTACTGGAAGTTCATAAATACCTTACTGGCATCATCAAAAACAGAGAGCTCCATGGAGCCTTCAAAGTCCTGCTGCAAAACAGACTTCAAACACTCATCCAACCACTCTTCGGCATTGTGGACAGGGAGGATAACGGACTGGAATTCAGAGAAGTGGGTTAATAGAAGTGGGTTAATAGAAGTGCGTTAATAGAAGAGGGAAAGCCGAATTCCCACACACTGCTCTAAGGTACTTCCCTCTGCCATCCACACAATGCTTATCAGCACAGGGCAAGGCCTGACCTACAGAAAGCCCTAAATAAGGCTTCCAGGAAAGGGCATGCCCAGACTATTCCTTCTCCCAGCTCCCAACATTCTTTGCTCCTTAAGATTTATTATGTTTTATATTTTCTCCAAACTTTCAGATGTTTCTAAAGGGGTAGGGAGTGCAAGACATCAAGATGTTCCCTGACTCAATGGTAAATTCATGTTTTTAATCACTTGACCAGTGATTAAACATTACATTCTGGTTAAGTAGGCACCTACCTATCTGTGTATTTCCCAACTCACCCCTGAAAGGTGCCGCTTGGGCCTTTGCTGGGTGGGACAAGCATTCCAGCAAAGTTGAGCATACAGAAACTGCAAGAAAGAAACCCCTCTAATACTCCTATGCAGTCGTCAAAACAGGGCCACCCTGGGCATTACAATGGGACATGGGGAGTCCAGGTCGCTTCCGTTCTAAACTTCCCTTAGGGCTGGTGGCACTAGCTGTTTTTCCTCAGGGAGTCCCACAAAAAAAAACCCCAAATTTTTAAAGCAGTATGGAGTAAAACGAGAGACTTTGCACACCTGTTACCTCAGCACTTAAGAAAGTGGAGACAGATTGTAAGTTTGAGTGGCGTTTGGGCAACCTAGCAAAACGCTGTCTCTAAATAAGTGAATTATTGTTGGGAATGTAGCTCAGTGATAGAGCGCCTAACCCCAGTACTGTCAAAAAAAAAAAAAAAAAAAAAGCGGAAAAAAAGTGAAACTTTACTGCACCAATACAATTATTATAAGTGCCTTAGTTTTATACATTATCATAGCATGTGCTGTCAACAGCCTTAAGTCTGTTGTCACCTTGTTTATGTCCATGAAGTCTATTTATATTTTTGGATTTACTTTTAAAGGGGAAAAAAAAGGATTATTTTACTTTTCTCAAGATCTACAACACGACGTACAAGGTGAATTTCTGTCAAAGCAGCACGGTGATGATTAATCTCGGTCCCCGACTTCGCTAAGACTGGGGGCGCACACCAGACTCCGGGCGGGGCCGGTCAGAGGTCTGCCAGACCCGCCCGGCGCGACAGGCGGGCGCGGGAGGCAGCGCGCTGTCCGCAGGCCCAGGGGGGCACGGCCCAGCGCCCCCGCCACACGCCGACGCCCTGGCATCCGCGACGGCGATCTCCAGACGGCAGCAAGGCCGGAGTGGTGCGGAAGGTTAGGGGCAGAGGAGGGCGCTGCCGAGGGACACCCAGGGGCTCGGGCCGCGCCGCACCCACGGTCCACACCTACCACGAGGGCCGGCGGGCCGGGCGCCCTCGAGTTTCCGGGGCGCTGCATAGCCACGCTTCTCTGCCCGCCGTGCGCCTCGGCCCGCGAGACCCGCTGGAGCGGACGGCGAGTGCGCTGGACGCTGGCAGGCGGTGCCGAAGGCAGGCCGCGTCCGATTGGCACAGAGACACGTCGATCTCGCGGCGGGGGACAGTCAGATGACGTGTCCCGGAGGAAGCAGGGACGTTAGTACTGGGGCGGGGCGGGGCGGTGCTGAGGTTTAGGTGCTGATTCCCGGGCGCTGGATGGCGACCGCGGCCTAGGAGTGGAGGTCGGGGCAAGTTACGGAAATGCTGCGGTACAGGAGGTGAGACTTGAAATCCAAACCCGATCACCTCTAGGTGGGCGTATGTACTTTGGAAACAAAGAATCGTGCAACCCCTCGCCCGCGCCCTGTTTTCCTGGAGGTCGAGCAGGGCCAGACAGAAGGAACTGGGGAGAGGCGCGTGGTGTCCCCGCGCGCCCCAGTAGGAGCCCGCCCGGGGCTCTACGAGACCCCGGAGCACTGACGCGATGACCCACGCGCGGCTTTTAGGACTGGCGTCTTTTCAGACTGACCCCGGCGCCTGCGGTTTCTCTAAGTGATCATCGTGAATATGCCAATAAGTGTATTTGAGGCTCTCCCACACTCTCCTTGACCGGCTGATGACCCTGGGTGTGTCTAGTGGTTTTTGCTCCTCTGTTGTGCCACCCCCAAACGACTTAGAGTGACCACACTTGGGCGCGGTGGCGCATGCCTGTAATCCCAGCACTGGGCAGACTGAGGCAGGAGGATCGACCCTCCAGGCCAGGCTGGGGTAAATAGTGAGCTCAAGGCCGTCCTGCACTACATAAATAGCGAGACCCTTTCTAAGAAAAAAAAAAGTAACATCACTTAAAAATAACAGGTTTAGGGACTGCAGTGCTTGTCCATTAAAACACATTCCCTGCAAGGAAAACAATGGCTTGTCTTTTTGTCAAGGAAACAAGCTACTCCCACCCCTAGTAATTCAGTAGAAACCTGACACTGTTATTCCCACCTATTAGCCTGAGCTAAGGGTGCTGGGCCCAGTCCTGCAGTGGAGTCCAGACATGGCCACACCTTTTCCTGCTCTTGGGGGTCTGGCGATCCCACATCCGGTTAGGAGTATGGTGACTAGAACCTCTCCAGGTTGCTGAGGTTCACTCACACACTTCACACAGAGGGAGTGGACCGCAACAGGGTTGAGAAAGTTCTGTGAATGTGATGTGCAGTGCTTACGGCAGTGCCACCCTCTTACACACATTAACCCCAGTGAGGGTAATTCACACTGCTCCGAATTACTGAACAGGTTATAGTGCGCATCAATTCTGAAACAAATCCCTTCCTGTGTGTGTGTGTGTGTGTGTGTGTGTGTGTGTGTTTCAGCAAATGGAACCCAGGGCCTCACATGTGCTAGGAAAGTGCTCTTTACCTTTGAGCTACCTTCTCAGCCCTAAATCCTTCTCTTTAAAAAACTAAGATTAAATGCGAAGCAAGCATTCTCTATACAGTATGTTGTATTATAACAAAGCAAACTTTTAAAGCTTCTGTTTAAGCACCACTTCAGATGTGATGGTTTCTACCGAAGTTGCATCTTATTTGCAAAGCCTGTTCTATGATTGAACAGATGAATAAAAAGGCAACCTAACTTTCAGACTGACAGATGCAGTCTGAGAATTTGTTTCCAGAGACCTGATGGAGTTGGTGTATTAGGAATTGTCAAGTTTTAAATGATTTCTCTAAAAGTAACATTCTGGCTACAAGAATGCCCCCTGAGCTTGTGGTAAGAGGTCAGAGATAAGGAGCTGCAGATGGCTTCTGGCCCGCAGTAGCACATGGTATTCAAACTGTGCTTCAGTATATGTCTTACTTCCTGTCCATCTCCTCAAATTTGCTTTCTTTCCACTGCTATCTAAAATGTTATTGGACTGTCCTTTTTGCAAACACTCAGAACACCAAGAGGCACTGAAGAAATGCAAGGTGGTTTGGGTGCTGTTCTAAAATCAAGGAGGGTGGGGCCCAAAATTCCTGTCACAGTAGAGTCTCAATAAAAGGAGCAGGCTGTGGGGCCTCACCCTGACCCAAGCAAGGGATAGGAAAGGGAACATAGTATGTTGACATTTGCTGGTTTGAGGTTGTGTGGCTTTAAATCAGACAGAAGGGAGGTTGGTATTGAAGGATGAGCAAAGTCACATGGGCACCGAAAGGGGAAGTTACGCGGAACTCTCCCCAATTTTGGGCTCACTGCACAGGCAATCTTCTTTATTTTTCATTGTTATGCAGAATGTTGGTGAATAGTGACTATATTCTGAGGACCCAGTGCTGATTCCCTGGGTCTAGCAGTGGGGCAGACCAGCTGCTGGGGTCAGAATATCCTGTCCCTCAAGCACCTATGTTGGAGCCTAACCCCAAGGGCATGGTGCTAGGAGGTGGGGTTTTAGATGACCAGGTCATGGGGACCACAGGATCAGTGCCTTATACAAGAGGGTGGCAGGAGCCCTTTTAAGTCTTCGGCTACCAGAGGATACATGGAAGGTACTTGTGAGGAAGGGGTCATCATCAGACATGGGGCTGCTGGGGCTTTGCCCTTGGACTTCTAACCTGCACAATTGTGAGAAATAAAGTTCTGTTGTGTATAAATTATCCATAGTAAGGTATTTTGTTATAGCAGCCTAAATGAGCTGTGACACCGGGTCTCCAAATTGAAGAGCTACACAGCAGCCCCACCATGCTGGAGTCGGAAGTAAAGACTCACTGCTGGTCTACACCAACAACACCTAGAGACTTGCAATGCTGGAGTCACTAGGCCCAGACTAAAAATCAGCTGTGTGCACCCTCAGCAAAGGCTGAGTTCAAAGCCATGGACAGACAAGTTTCTCCTGACAGCCTGAGCTCCAAACCTCTAGGTGTCCTTACCCATTTCTGACAGAATGAACCTCCACAGGACTGTGAAGTGGGTGCTGTGAAGAGGGCAGGAGCATCTGAATCACAGGAGACTGCATGTGGTGGCCAGAATAAACCAAGTCTCAAGGGAGCCCAGCTGTGCTGGGCAGTGGATTTGCATGGGGCTCTCTTCTACTCCTTTATTCTTTTAAAGGTAGGTTTTGCCTCAGCTGGATTTAATTCCTCATTCAGGGCCTGCAGCCCATACTATTTAGAAATATAATCTATGGCATGTGGTGTGGACTTGGTCCCATGAATTCTGTCTTCCACAGCACGTGTATAGGTGTAGCTTTGGGAGAGAATCCCCTTACAAGAGGCTCTTGAAAGCCACAGGCAGTTGTTTGAGAATGTGGCAGGAGTCCTGGGATCATGGGCAGATCTCAAGAAAGGAGCCTGAACTCAGGAACTGGTAGGATGTTCTACAAAATACCCACAATTTGGTCTTATAACAGAAGTATGGGACAGTTCTGTGTGACCCCATGAGGGAATCAGCCCAACCCAGCACCTTACCCAGGGCGGCACTCCTAACCAGTCTACATGGCTAGGAATTCTGGAAGAAGCAGGTGATCCCACTGACTAAGCATTTTCTAAATGCTAGGCAGTTTTCAAATATTATCTCATTAAAGCCCAGCACAACATGATTGACCCAGTGCCAGAGCCTGTATCTGTCCCTGGCCCAACTGCAGGAAGGGATGAGGTTCCTGTCACAGGAAGCATTTAATTAACAGCAGGCAGACGTTCAGTGTGGATTCCATGTGTGCCTCAACCATCGTGTAGGATGTTTGTCTTGGCCTGGATCTCCCAGCCCCAGTCCAAAAGACAGAGCCTGAGTCAGGAGTTTGCACATGGAGTTTCTGTTCCCAGGAAGCTGGGGCCAGGGACGGTGAGGCAGGGAAGAAGAATAGGTCAGAATCCATGGGCTTCATTGGGGTATCTCCATGAACGGTTGGACCAGGCCTTTCTCAGGACCCTGGAGAGTTGTCCACCTGCAGGGAAGAGACTTTTGTCTCTATCGGTATGGGTATCAGCATCTGTATCTGTATCTAGGTGGCAACAATACAAGTGTTCTGAGCTCTGCGCCATGATAAGCAGCCAAGGCTGCCTCTTGGAATCAGGGTTGGGACAGCAGGCAGACCTTCAGTATGGCTGCTCGGGTGAACTGGGGAGCCTGCCTCGAAGTCAAAAGGAGGAAGGATCTGACATGGAACCACAGCTTCCCGCCTAGTGGATGTTCAGCAGGAGCCACTGTGGGGCACAATAGCATCTAAAATGGTTCTGAAGTGATGACAGCCAGGTGCTCCTCGCCCTAGTATAGAGATGGGTAGGAGGTGCCTTGGGAGCTACATGTGGGCAGGGCCTGCTCTTTTGCTGAGCCCCATTGTTGGGCTGGTTTAGGCAATCTGTCTGTCATATGGAAGGACAGGAGTAGCCAGTGTCACACCTTCCTCCTGACAGCATCAACCCAGGCTGAACAGCCTCTGTCTCAGTGTCTGTTTTAGTCACTTTCCTCGTTGTGAGACAAAATACCTGGCACCCACAACATAGGGGAAAGGGGGCTTATTTTAGCTCATATTCCAGTCTATAGTGGCTGACTCCAAGGCAGGACGCCATGGCAAAGGGGACGGTGCAGGAGAACTCCTTACATGGTGGACAGAAAACAGACAGCATGAAAGGAGGAGTTGGGGAGAGAGATAGACCCTTCCAGGCCACACCCCAGTGGTCCATCTTCTCCAACCAGTCTCTACTACTCAACAGCATATTTAGCTATAAACTGACAAATATCACACCCCTCTGGTCCCCAAAGTACCACCTATTAGCACATGAGGTTTCGGGGGGATATCTAGGTATAAATCATAACTGTCCCATCTTCCACCTGATGGGAGCAGCAGAGGGTGAACAGCTTCCTGGGTTCAGTATCTCATGTCCTCCTGACGTGAACAGGAACATACTCCATGCAGGTTACAATAGTAAATCTGTGCTTCTTAGTGTGGGGTAATGGATGTATCTACACATGTTCATGTTGGAGACATATGCCCAAGGGTCTTGGGCAACTGTTGCCAAGGTGGCTCACTATGCTGGTATGAGGAAGAGGCCCCAGCTTCAACTTCTGGTAAAACTTCTCTGAAGCTGCTGCTGCAAGGTCTTCCCCAGTGGTCCCTGATAGATCACCAAAGGAAGAGGTTTGCTAAGTGAACTTCATGTGCTCAGGATGTATTTACTGCCATGTTCCTTGGTCCATGGCTGCATCAGCACCAGAAAGAGGTCTCCCACCTCTGAACAGGGGCTGGGGCTATGATGTGAGGCCATCCTCAACTCCACCTGGCCTGGTACTGAGCCTAAATGAATGTGCCTCCTTCACCCTAAACCTCACTCATTGGATATAAATCGAATCAGCTAATACAGATGAGACCTTGGTCCCCATGGTGGGAGACCCAGGGCAGTCTGCATGGCTCGGATTAAGCCTGAGGTCTGGATGCTAGCCTGTGTGGCCACTATTCTGCCCACCCTCTTCTCAGGGCTCCCATTGAAGCTTAATGGATCTTTTAGAGCCCTTACTGCCCCATGGCCTGTGTGGTATATCACACAGCTCCAAGCTGCCCTCAGTGTGGGCCACCAGGTTGTGAAGCCACCATGGGACCTGGCTCACCAAGTCACCAGGGAGGCCAGGGGCAGGTGCTACTGTGATCAGACTGAAACCACAAATGTTCCTGGGCATGAGGGGAGCTCAGGCTGAGCCCTGGGGAGACAGGAATGAAGGGCTACTTGTCCCTGTGCTGGGAGCCCACGGCCTAGAGCGGTTTCCAAACTATAGGCCAAGATCTGGGGATCGTGGAATAGATGCAGTGGGCTGGGTCTGTCCCCTTACAACTTGGGCACTGATTATAGAGTTGGCTCGGCCCACTGTGCTGTGATGTAAAGGACGTTTCTCTCTATCATCACCACCACAGTCTGGAGGGAAAGGTGGGGCTGCAGTTACAATATGGGGGGGTTGTGTTTCCACAGGGGTCCTGCCAACACAGAGAGCCACAGCAGGGGGCAGGACATGGGAACAAGGCAAGCTGGCTTATCCAGCCACCAAAGGTTGGGGTGGATTCGAGTGCTCCCCAAAATGCCTAGGTGCCCATGCGGAGGACTGATGCTGCTGTGAGAGTAGGAGTAGGGTGCTGGAGCTGGGGCTCTGCTGTACCATCAACCTGCAAGTGGGTGGCCCCTCCAGAGCCCGCTCAGTGTGGTAGGGGCTGCTGTAGTACAGCAGGAAGGGAGGAAGGGCCTTGCTGGGCCTGCACATGTGCCCAGATACTGTGATCAGACTGAATCTACAGATAGTCCTGGGTAGCCCCTTTGGGGGAACTCAGACCAAGCCCTTAGGAGACACAGATGCAGAACCTCTCCCCATGCTCAGCTGGTCCTTGCAAGCTAGAGGAATGCTCAATGGCCATTTGGGCCATGTCTCCATGGAAGCACCTACTGAAGGTCCTAAAAATGAATTACTGAATGTATGGGATACAGCCTGTCTGTCCCCAGTGGGTCTTGGATTTCTCTGAACTCTTTGGCTCTTGTTCTGGCTCCCCTCAGGCTCAAGCCACCCACAGGACCAGAGGCAGCCCCACATACCTGCCATACCTCCTGGTGCCCCATACCAGTGGCTGCACCTGAGGGTGCTGGCAGGTGTGACCTTGTGCACCTGCAGACTCATCATCTTAGTCCCCAGGCCTCAGTCACTGCTGACCATGTGTCTGCTGGGCACATCCTCTTCTGGACCTTCTCACCTCCTCCTTCCCCTAAGCCCACAGAGCAGAGGGCCTCCTTTCCAAAGTGCAAATCAAATCTGGTCCCACCCAGAAGGCAGCTTTTTGTGGATACCCCCTGCCTCCTTGGGATAATGTGGCTATCCCCACTATGACTGTCCCCCCTTTTTGAACTGGTTCAAGCCACCCCTGACTCCACCCCTCTGGCCCTGGCTGCCTACTTGCCCCATCGGGAGGAAGTCTTTCTATTGAGTGCCCTCCAACTCTGACTCTAAATTGCTGGCTCTGTGGGGGCAGGGACGGGCTTTTTTTGTCCTCTGCCAACTCCTTGTGGCTGGCAAAGACCAGTGATCACGTGAGCTGGTTGCTGGTGCAGGGCCAGGACACTGCAGCCAGGAAACATCCCAAGCAGCAGGTTGGGGAGGGGGTGGCCCTCAGGATGGCTGCCAGAGAGTCTTGCTAAGCTCCCTGAGAAGCAGGGCCTGGGTGGACTCCTCACACGCATGGAGCTTTCAGTGGCCCCAACTCCAGGACCATTCCATGTCCAGGCTGGCTGGCCTCGTTAGCTCAGAGCACATGGCTGTGAAGCATAGTCTCCCCCCACGGAGGAGGTCACATTCCTGCTCTCCTCTTCCTGTGGTCACTACAATTCTGTTTTATTTGCTGACTTCTAGGCGGCTAGGCCGCCACATAGGTCTGGCCTGTGCATGGTGCTGTGACCCTGGCCAGTCCCAGTGCTCAGAAACAAGCAAATGCCTGATAATCTGCCAGATCAGGAAAATAAGACTGTGTCTACGCTGAAATCCACTTAGAGACAAAGAATATTATTAAAATAACTAAAAATTCACCCTGTCCAGTTCTAGGGTCTGTGGGCTACCTCCTGCCTCATGGGTACGCCGAGTAGCTGAACACGGTAGACAGAGGCAGTATGTGGATTTCTGGCTTCTCTGGGCCCATGTTGTGCCTGTCCAGGCACTGTATCATCCCCTGGACAAATGAGCAGAACAATGTTAAGGCTGTGCTCCTTGCACAGCCAAACCCCTATGCCAACAGTGCTGTGGGTTTGTCTTTCCCAAGCAGAGAGACCCTCAGCCGTCCCTCTGCAACAGAGCCTGGCTTCACTCCTGCAGTTCAGCAGAGTTCTCCTATTCTGTTAGAATGAACAGAACTCTAAGCAAATAGGATCAAGTTAGGTTTTTTAGACAAACACTCCAATACTAGGATATCTTTAAAAAACAACATGTCTGTTGAGGACACGAAATGCTGCATTGGTGCCCATCAGTATTACTGCTGTGCCTTGTGAATTATGGATGCAAGAGAATAGAAGGCAGGAGCCAGACGCTCTGGACAGACCTTGCTGGGAGGAGGGAC